GGCGAAGATAATGCATTCTGAAGTACCATACCATTTAAAAATCATTAGAAAATATTTTCATTAGAAAAATAATTGATGTTAAGTGAGAATTTAAGTGAATTTTGCCCCATTTTACAACTTTCCTGGCTACAGTTAAGCAAATCATTGCAATTGTTACATTAGTAACACTGTTGCTAAGTGAATCTTGCTTTCCCATTGACTTTGCTTGTCAGAGGCTCACAAAAGGTGATCATGGGACACTGCAAGTGTCATAAATATGAATCAATTGCCAAGCATCTTAGTTTTGATCACATGACCATGGAGATGCTGCAATGGTCATAAGTGACAAACATATTCCTACGTCACTTTTTTCAGTGCCATTGTAACTTTCAACAGCCACTAAACAAACTGTTGTAAGTCAAGGACTACCTGTATTCAGAATGGATTCCTGAAATTAATTTTTAAAAATGGCTACCTATAGAAGTGTGCTCTTACTTACTTAATTTATGAGCATTTTTTTTCAGTTATTCCGGAATAAAGACAAATGTGTACAATGTTTTACACCAATCCGAGCAGTTATAAAAGTTCTGCAAGCAGAGGTATCCTAGTAATGCAAAGCAGGAAAGAAAGAGCAACACTTCCTACCACCAATTTATGTATGGGTAAAAAAAATAGGGGGAAAAAAGTCTCTTTTTAACCAAGCTAGTAGAGTCGTTGTGTGAGGTCAGACATGCTTGCTTATCCAGAACTGTGTTCACGGATCTGTGTTCTTTAGTTGGAATTTCTGAACTGGTGTAATTCTGCTGAACTTAAAATTTAAACTTACAATCATCTACCGGTAAGTACACCAGAGTGCCAACCTGAAGAATGAATTAAAAGATTTCCAGGAAGAAGTCAACATTTTTCTTCATTGTGGCTGCATCCTAAGTAGGATATATAGTGGCAAGTAATGTGTCAGCCGCTTTAGCTTATCTTAAAAATATCACCCAGAGAAGTATTTGTTTTTCCAAGTAACCTCTACAAAAGAATACTTTTGAGTAAACCTTCAGTAGGTGCTCAGATTCCAGAGAGAGCTGTATGTCTGGTGTGGACGGCATTTTATATTGTATATTTTATCTTTCTTCTGATGATTTCTCATCAGCAATACAGGATAAACTGTTTTTATCATCTGCTATTTGAAAGCAGAGCTGAAATGTTATTAAGATTTACAGGGACCATATGTCAGATATTTATCCCATTCTTAAAACATTTTACGATGAGTTTTAATACATTACTGTAATATCACAATAAAGTCATAACAGAAGCTTTCTTTAAAAACTAATCTCCCTGCCTTTACTTGCTCCCCCACTCTCTCTCATACACACACTCCTCTGAAAATACATAAAAGCACAAACACACAGGCACACACACACACACCTGGAATAGTGGACTGGATTCAAGTTAAAATGGAAGCGCAGAATAGGAAGCCCAGAAAAATAGCTACAATAAATCATGTCCTTCAGTCACACAGCAAAGTTGACTCTATTTATCAAACAGCATAGAAGATCATGCAATGTTGCAAGTACACAAGACAGGTAAAAGAAAAAAAAAAGCATTGGCAAAATATGTAGAAGATGCATTGAAGCTAGTACACCTTGAAGGCTTTTGGAATACCAGAGATTAAATTGGCCTACAAGAATAGACCAAACAAAGAAGAGAAATGAGAGGCACAGTATTACTTGGCCAGTTAAGTACTTAAAAAAACAAACTAGTAGGCAAAACAGATTAACAATAAGACCTGACAATGGCTAACAGCAGTAAATTTGAAAAAAACAAACCAGAGGGGCTAATTCTAGCTTAAGCCTTAAGACCAAATGCATATAAAACTAGAATTGAGAAGACAGAAGCAGACAGCCAATGTAAAGAAGCTGAAGAAAGAAAGTTGAATGCCGCAAGAAAATTGGAAAATGACTACAAACAACAGCAATGGCAAAGTAGAACAAAGACAACTGGAACATTTTCAAGAAGTAGGATTTGCCTGCAAGCAAGAACCGGCAGAACCAGAAAACAGACAAAAGTTATTGAAAATGAATAAGCTGGAGTATTCTGGGACTTTAGAATTCAAATGGACAAACATCTGTCACACAATGCTTGCAGGCTTAACCACACTGATAAAGAATCCCCCCCAAAAGTCTGGATAATGGTTGTTGTTGTACCTGGAGACAGCAAAACACTAGAGAGGAGAAAGAATTGGAGGTAAAGACTTGCAAATCGAACCACTTTGGCAAAAGAAAGCAAAGCTAGTACCCACAAGCAATAAGATGCTTTAGGTGCAATTCCAAAACACTTTGAACTCCACTAGCATTGACAAAATCGCCCTCAATCAATTTGCACGGGGCATTTCTACTTGCGTTAAGCTTCCATCCTGCGACGATCCCTTTAATATTATTAAACACCACCTGCCTACCCCAGATCCCGGGGGAGAACTTGATCAATGGACAATAAACAAATAAATAAATAACCAAATCCGGTCTAAACAACTGGGTGCGGTGCAACCAAGAATAAATAAGAATAAAATTTATCTGCCGCCCTCGAGAGCAGCAAAGAAATGGGAGCAAACTCGGAGGCGAGGCTGCCCTCCCTCCGATGACGGTCCGGACTTTTGCGGTCCAGATCCAGCAAAATGTCCCCTTCCTTAAAAACCCAGGAAATTCAGGCCTCGGCCTTGTTCTGGAGCTCAGCCGGAAGCCCTTTGTAGTAACCGCCAACCCGGCGACAGGAAAGCGCCCACCGGGGTGGGTGAGTTGTCGTTCCTTTTCTCCCCAGCAGCGTTAATATCCCTCCCACTCCCCGCGAATACCTGGTCCCAGGCTCCTCGGTTTCCATCTCCGAGCTCTGCTATCACCACCGCCACCCCGCCGTCCGCTCTGCCGGCCAGCGAACCTCTCTCGGGGGAAGGCCGGGAAAGAAGCGCCGAACCCAGCCGATTCCCCCCCCCCTCCTCCCCGCACAGCCCCTCCGCGCCCCTTCCCCCCTCGCGCTATATACCTCCCTCCGCCGTCGCGCGCGCCCTCCTTAAGCTCTCAGCACGCCGGGACTTAGGCAGCCGGTAGAGATACGGAAATGGAAGAGAGGTCCGCAAGAGCAAAGTTCCGATTTCCTCAGGGGGAAAAATAATAAAATAAAAATAAAGATCACTTTGTAGGTTAAGAAGGCCAAAGTCACCTAATGATTCAAGGGCGAAATATTGGCGGGGTCTGAAGCCCAATCAAAGGATGGATGAAGGGCGAAGACTCAAAAGTTGAGTTTCACTTTGAACCGAAACAAATTCCTTGTGTGTCCAATCACACTTGGCCAATAAATAATTCTGTTCTGTTCTATTTCTCCACTTGGACGTTTTAAAAGAGCCTGCCTCAACATAGTACCCGCAAGTGGATTGGCTTTCCGAGTCTCATAATTCCCTTCTAAGTTTGGTCAGTCTTTCAAGATTGTTGAAGTCAAAATCTCACAATCTAGTAGAGGAAAGGCTGGTTCAAATGTGTACAATACAGGTAGACCTCGATTTACAACAGTTAGTGACCATTCAAAGTTACGATACTGAAAAAAATGACTTATGATTGTTTTTCACAGTTATGACCTTTGCAGCATTCCTCCATTATCATTTATTTTTTATTTTATTTATTTTTATTTGATTTGATTTGTCAATTGCTTACAAGATAATAGGTATAGGTATAAACGTGAGTAAGAATACAGGAAATAAGTATGAATAAATGGGGACAATAGGACAGGGACGGGAGGCATGATGGTGCACTTATGCACACCCTTTACATTTTGTGTGATCAAAATTAAGATGTGATCAACATTCTGATGCTTGGCAACTGGTTCATCATACTTATGATCTTTGCAGCACCCCAGGGTCACGTGATCACTTTTTGTGACCTTCTGACTAGCAAAGTTAAGGGGAAGCCAGATTCACTTAACAACTGGGTTACTCTCTTACAAATGACAGTGATTCACTCAAAAACTGTGGCAAGAAATCTTGTAAAATGGGGCAAAACTCACCTAACAAATTCTCACTTAACAACATACATTTTGGGCTCAATTGTGGTCCGAAATTGAGGACTGCCTGCACAGTTCCAGTTAGAAATAAGGCATTTCTCGATAATGGGGGGCTGATCACAGTTTTGAACAGGGTCAAGCTTTCACACGCTGCAGACACATTTGGAAACAATGGAATCAGTCAATACTGGACGGATAATGCAAAGGCTATTTTCAACCACAGGAGGAAGAAGCAATATGTTATAGGGGAAACAGACCCGGGTTAAATTGGCCACATGATTTGATTGGATAGTCACTAATAATAGTTAAATATTATTAAAATATCCTTTAGGGTATGCAAATGATACACCTACCCAGTAATTAAAACAGAAAACATAAGCATGGAAACCCTTCTTGGTCTTCCAAAAGATGGATGTGTTAGTAAATTGGCCTTATGGTTTGATTTGATTGATCGCTAGTAATAGTTCATTAGAACTACTATTATAACTATTTAATCTTTCCACTAATTTCTATAGACAGGCAAACTTCTACTCCCAGAATATGTTTTCCCCTTACTGTGGAGAACAATGAATCGATAACAATAACCTGAAAACTAGCAGAAGCCTGTGGGTAAAGGCAACCAATCAAAGCACAGTTTAAAAAAAAACAAAACCTTCGGCCCTTTAAGATGGGTGGACTCTCAGAATTCCTCAGCCAGCATACCGGAGAATTCTGGGAGTTGAAGTCCACTCATTTTAAAGTGCCCAAGTTTGAAATAAAAAAAAAAAAAAACCGAACACCTTGAGAGGAAACCAGACGGGAATCTCCACGACAGCGGAGCAACTGAGGGTTGATAACATCAGAGGGTTCCAAGTATTCTTTTTCATCAAATTTAGAAAAACACAGGCGGCTTTTTTTTTAAAAAAGCTACGCTTCACAGCTCGCGTTACCTACTCTTCTCTTTCCTTGCTCTACCCAGAGGTGACGTCACGTCCTCTGGCACGTGGCTTTGCACGTTGTGAAGTGGGCTTCCGCCGTTGCGATTGGCCGCCTGGCGGATCTGCAGACCTTTCTCTCTTCGTTCTTGCGGAGCAGCTGGAGCGCCGGTGCGTGTCGGACCTCTGGCTTCCTTTTGTAAGGAGGATCTGTTGGGAAACTTTGGGAGGACCTGAGTTTATCGTATGGGCGGGAGACGGGAAATAATCCACAACGAGGTGTGTGTTAATAGAATAGAATAGAATTATTTATTGGCCAAGTGTGGTTGGACACACAAGGCATTTGTCTTGGTGCAAAAGCTCTCAGTATACATAAAAGAAAAGATATATTATTCAAGAGTCAAAAATCATGACGTACAACACTTAATGATAGTCATAGGGTAAAATAAGCAATCAAATCATACTAGGAAACAGTCAATAGATCGTAAGGATACAAGCGACAAGGTTACAGTCATACAGTCATAAGTGGGAGGTGGTGGGTGAAAGGAAGGATGGGAGGGTTAATAGCAATAGTAATGCAGACTTAGTAAATAGTTTGACAGTGTTGAGGGAATTATTTGTTTAGCAGAATCAGTGTGTTATTAAGTCTTGACTCCTGATGACTGCCTGGACTAATCCCTGCAGTTTTCTTGGTTAAGTTTTCAGAAGTGGCTTGTCCTAGACAAGAGAGAGAGTGGCTCAAGGTCACTCAGCTGTCTTTACACCTAAGGCTTAGTACACCTTAGCTTAGTAATCTCTTCATATTTTGCTTTAGTAATCGATCACTTGGGATCTTAACACAGCTCTAGTGAAATTCTGTGTCCAAATGGTCAGTGGAGCAGAGGAAGGAGGCAGGGTGAGGTGTCCAAGGGAACAGTCACAGCATACTAGGATGTTATCTCCTAGTAGTTCATACTAAGATTTCCTATGCTTTACCTATTTCTTTGGGACCTATCTCTATTTTGGGATAGAGTTTTACACTTGTTTACTTGTTCTAGAAGGGGAAACTAATAGAATATTTGTCTGTTTCACTACAGTTTCCAGGTATTCCAGCTCCTTAGTTGATTAATTATGTATCAAGTCTTGGCAACAATATAGGTAGATTTTCTCTGTGATGTAACCTGTAATCTGTAACCTGGCCTGTCAGTGATCCACGAGTAATGGATTGCTAACAGTAACTGGCCGTCACCTGCAAATATTCCTTAGAGCTGGCTGGAGAATTCTGGGAGTTGAAGTCCCCAAGTCTTAAAGTTGCCAAGTTTGGGGACCTCTGCCTTAGAGTATGCAAATGATACCCCTACCCAGTAATTAAAACAGTAGAAAATGTAAGTATTGAAACCTTTTTTGACCTTCTAAAAGATGGATGTGTTAGTGTATAGGTCAAGGGTCTTCAAACTTGGCAAGAAAGAAGACACAGAGTATTTTCAAACATGGGACTTGTTTTACAAATGGTTGGATTGTAGAGGTAGAAATTAGGAGTGGGAAAAGTATTATTACATATAAATAAAATGATCCAGAGAATACACTGTTCACTAAGTACTTATGTATGTAATGTGAAAATATATAAAGAAACTGTCAAAAAAAGAAAATTGCAGCATCTGATTTCATCATCATCACGTTCATGAATGAGGCACTATTGATTTTTATATGTATAATATGAAGGAAAGACACACACATATATATATATATATATATATATATATATATGGATCTTTGGTTGTTCGGGTTTTCTCCCGCGTAAGATTCGAAGTATCTAGGCAACGTTTCGATGAAGTCTCATTCATCATCTTCAGGCTTTTGTCTCCGGCTCTGTGCTTCTCAGAGTAATGGAGATTGCAGCTGCTTCCTCCTTTTAACTGCCAGTGGGGGTGGGACTTGATTGGGTGGGGGCTTGGCTGTGTTCTGATTGGGTGGGGGTGTGTTCTCATTGGTAGGGGGTTTGGCTGTGTTCTGATTGGTTGGGGGGTTAGCCGTGTTCTGATTGGTTGGAGGCGTGTTCTGTTCAGGTGGGGGCTTGGTTGTGCTCAGGTTAGTCTTAGTTGCTGGGGGATTTGAGCTGGAGAGTTGTGATCTTGCTGTTTGGCTTCTAGTTCGTGGTCCTGCTGCATCTTCATAGTGGGTGTCGGTTTGCTTCATGTATGGCTCAGAGGGGTTTGAAGTGGGTAGTGATGCAGCTGCAGTGCAGTTTCTGGTCCATGGTCGTTTCTCATTTTCTGAATGGGTGGGAGTCTGTTTTCTACATGGAAGTGTGGTGGTGGCATCTTGTGAGGCTCTCATGGGTGTGGGTCCGGTGTCCTTTTTCATGTTAGGTACTCGTCTGTTCATGAGGGCGGGTTTCCAAATGGCTGGAAGGCGGGAGGTGTCATCTCGTTTGTTCATGCTGTGTGGGCGTTTTTCTATCTCTATGGCTTCTCTGATTATTCTGCTGTTGAAGTGTTCGGTTTTGGCGATAGTTCTGGTATTTTTAAAATCAATTTCATGTCCTGTGGCTTTGAGGTGTTGGACCAGGGAAGAGGTCGTTTCTTCTTTTTTGATTGAGTTCTTATGTTCTTCAATGCGTGCACTTATTCTTCTGTTAGTTTGTCCAATGTATGTGGTAGGGCAGGCAGTGCAGGGGATTTCGTATACTCCTTGGTTTTCTAATTCGATTTTGTCTTTGGGGTTTCTTAGGATGGTGGATATTTTTCTGTTTGTGCAGAATGCTGTTTTGATGTTGTGTTTTTGGAGGATCTTGCTAATTTTGTCTGTAGTGCCTTTTATATATGGGAGGAGGGCTTTGCCGTTTTCTTGTTCTCTGTCTTGGATTTTGGTTGGGGTTTCTTTTTGGATTAGGTGGGTAATCTTCTTTCTTTGGAATCCATTGGCTGTAAGTACGTTGGTGAGAGTGTGTAGTTCGGTTTTTTGGTGTTGTTCATCGGCTAAGCATTTTGTTCTGGAGATGAGTGTCTTGGCTACGGAATTGATCTGTGCTGGGTGGTGGTGTGAGAGTGCATGTAGATAGCGGTTAGTATGTGTTTTCTTCTGGTAGATGGTGTGTCCTAGGGAGCCATTGGATCTTTTGTATACCAAGACATCTAGGAAGGGAAGTTGATTGTTGGCTTCTGTTTCCATGGTGAATTGTATTTTGGGGTGATTTGGTAGTTTTTTCTAGACAGACCCCACCACCTACCTAGAAAAAACTATATATTTTTTTATATATATATTATAATTGTGCTTTTAAAGTTGTTGCCACATTTCGGCAGAATCTCATCTGCCATCATCAGGCTTCTGGATTGTGTTCGTGTGTGTGTGTGTGTGTGTGTGTGTGTGTGTGTGTGTGTATACACACACACACACACACAGTGCTGAAAGAAGATTTTAAAAGCCCTTATTTAAAATTAGAGCAGCTATGACACATTTTTTACGGTTTTGGTGGACTGGGAATAAAGACTATAGTTTCTTTAGGAAGACGTTTCTTAAAAATGATCAGTTGGGCATCTCTGTGCTACTATTAGCTTGTGAGGAAGAGCCGTGATTTGTAAAACCATCTTGATTACTATATGTTCTTGCCATGGTCCATTGTTGCTTTGATGTCTGTGATCTGCTCTACATTTATATATCCCATATATGCTTTGTGGCTGCTGAAGTATTATTTTCTCTCCAAGTTTCTTATAGACTCCCTAGCTGTGGCTAGTTAGAAGATTAATCCCTCTTGGGGAAGATCATGTCTGAACTTCAGTGCTTTTTTCCCTTCTTCTAAGGTCCAAAACCATGCCTGCCGGTGTAAGTTGGCCCAAATACTTGAAAATCCTCACTGCAGCTTTCTTGTCCATGCTTGCCGGTGCACAAACTGTCCACAAATTTTACAGACCTGACCTCGTAAGTACCTTTCCCCACCCCTTGATTGCTGTCTTGTCTTCTGCTTCAGAAAGAGAGCCTTATTAGAGATAACATACAATTGGGGTTTTCTTCTACCCCTTAGGATACATCGCATAGCTCTTTGGTGATTGCCTTCTATCACCTGCAAATCTTGTCTTTTGCATAGATGAGAGCTCTGTTCTTCTCCCTAGAACTCTCTCCAGTTTTTTTTAATTCAAATTTTCAAAAATGACACACTTTTTTTTTTACTCAGAACTTGGAAATGTATATCATCATTTAATTGAAGTTACTTATGTGTTATTTGACAATATGCGTTGTACCTTTTGCTGGGAGGTCAAAGCAGTACAACCAGGGACTGCCACCATTTTATCCATAGAACAACTCTATGAAGCAGTTGATTGGGAATGCAAAACCGGCCCTAAGCACTAGACTTGGCAAATATGGCTGTAAAACATGGGTGTCATACTTGATTTCACTGAGGGCCGCATCAGGGTTGTGCTTGACTTCGGTTTGTGTGTGTGTGTGTGTCCAGAGTGGGTGTGGCCAGCTCAATGTCACTCATGTTGGAGTCACCTGTGGACCAAGAGCTCTGACAGCGAAACTGGGCTCCTGAGCTCTGTGTTTGGTTGCAACGGCCTCCTGAAACTCTCTTCCAGTGAAAATGGAGCTCGGGAAGGCCGCCTGCAGCCCTCACGTCTCCGTTTTCAACTGTGAAAACGGACCTCCATTTTCACTGGCAGAGGCACCGCGGGCCGGTCCTTCGCAGTTTTCAGGGCAGCCCCTCAGACCAGATTTAAGCAGGCTGGTCCCAGCCTCTGGGCCTTGAGTTTGACAACCCTGCTGTAAAATCTAGAAATAGTTATTTATAAATAAGTTTAAATAAATTAATGTTTTTTAAATAAATAAAAACATTGGTAGCTTGGATTTTTTTCAATTCAGAAGTTGACAGCGTATTAAAGATGCCTGGGATTCTCCATTTTCTGTATGTATGAGATGCACCGAAAAGTGTTTAAGGGGTCACAGTTGAGGTAATTTTTCACTTTCAGTTCCAGTTGCTTCTGGGAGTTAGTCGTTGAACATAGAATAATAACGTTGGAAGGGACCTTAGAGGTCATCTAACCCCCTACTTTAGCAGTAGATCCTATATCATTTCAGACAAATGGTTGTCCAGTCTCTTTTTGAAAGCCTTCAGTGATGGAGCACCCACAACCTCTGAAGGCAAGCTATTCCATTGGATGATTGCTATCACTGTTAGGAAATTTCTCCTTAGTTCTAGGTTGCGTCCCCCCTAATTCTTTTCATTAGCCTAGACATACCCAATTCCTGTAACAGTTCTTTGTATATTTTAGACTCCAGCCCCTAATCATTTTTGTTGCTCTTCTCCGCTCTCTTTCCAGAGTGTCAATATTATTTTTGTATTGTGGTGACCAGAACTAGATGCAGTATTCCAAGTGTGGTCTAAGGCTTTGCAAAGCGGTACTAGAACTTCATGTGGTCTTGATTCCATCCCTATCTTAATGCAACCTTAATGTGTTGGCTTGGTTGGTTGCTGCTGCACTGTTGGCTCATATTTTAAGAGATTGTCCACTAGGATTTCAAGATCCCTCTCATAGTTACTGCCATTAAGACAAGTTTCACTTAGTTTATACAGTTGGTTTTTTTTAACCTAAGTGTAAAACCTTACTTTTATCTGTGGTGAATTTCATTTTGTTAGATAGGGCCTAAGTCTGTAAAGATCTTTTTGGATCTTGAGCTTATCTTCTGGCATGTTGGTTATTCCTGCCAGCTTTGTGTCATCTGCAATTTGATGAGTTCCCCTTCATCAATCCCCTTGTCTAGATTGTTTATGAAAATATTGAAGAGTACTGGGCCTACAACGGAACCTTGGGATATCTCACGGCTTCCTTCCTTCCATGTGAATGTAGTTCCATTGAGCAATAGACATTGAGCATGATTTGTCAGCCAGATAAAAACCCACTTGGTGGTGGTACTGTCATAGTCTGAGAATGAACAATCTATCTGTAAGTTTCTAGTAATATATTTATATTTCTAAATATAAACTGGAATTCTAAAATGTATATATTGACATGAACATCTGATGGATTTGTTTTTGGATATTATTTATTTCGTAGACACCAGATATTCCTCCAGAAGCTAGAGAGCTCAGAACACAAATACCAAGTCTAAAAAATACGAATGAGCCAGTTCAACCTTTACAACCACGATCATGAAAGAATCAGTGTTGCATCCTTCATAAAGTGTTCCTTATGAGGATTTATAATCTGAATACATACAACTGGGAAATCATGAATATTTTAAAAGGACTTTTATATTTGTATTTTCTTGAGTCCAAGAATGCCTCTCCTACGGTCTGTTTTTTCCCTCTTCCCCTACAAAGGTGACCACCTGCTCAGCCATTGCTTGTTTCCATATCTACCTGCAACCTTTACTTCATTACAATTGCTCTCAACGTGGCAGATCTATGTCAGTTTTTTCCCCTTAAACATTCTTTGCAGGGTGTAATACATTTTGGAGAATGCTGGGATACATCTGTATAATTAGTTCAATTACCATTTAAAAGCAAATGTTTGGGAACATGTTTTGCTTTGTAAGCCAATTAAACAAAGGTATCTATTTGAACATTAGGTTTCTCCCATACTATTGTACTGTAATATGGTTTCCTGCAAAGCAAGCATATGTCAATAACTTAGCAATTTTATTTCAGTGATATTTGTGCCTATTTTGAATTTTCACAATGAACTTCTGATATTAAATGCAATGTTTAAATATAGTTTCTGTAAATGTCAATTTATTTCTAGACACAATTCACTGTATTCCTTTTGGCTGGAAACTAATGGGAATTGTACACCTGGTGGACACTAGGCTGGGGAAAGCTGGTCTATTTATTTCGAAGATTTGATTCAGTGTCAGCATTAAGTGCAAAAGGGCACCTACTCTTCCAATCTATTCAAAAATACACAATCTGGTGTATTTAATGGAAGCATTTTAATGTAAAGATATGACTCAATTTTCTGTGTATCTTGCACTAGTTATTAGAACTACTTAGTAGACAATACAGGTAGTCCTCAACTAAAAACAGTTCATTTAACTGATCAACAGCACTGAAAAGTGACTTCAGTTACAACCTTTGCAGCATCCCCATGTCATGTCATCAAAATTCAGACAATTGGCAACTGACTCATATTTATTAAAGTTGCAGTGTCCCATGGGCACGTGATCACTTTTGTGAACTTCTGACAGTCAGTGAGGATGCCAGAACTGCAATAATTCACTTAACAGAAAGGTTGTAAAATGGGGCAAATTTCACTTGTCTCACTTGTCTCCATAAATTTTGGGCTCCATTGTGGTCATTGAGGACTACTTGTATAAGGTAAAGTTTCCCCTGCACATGGGTGCTAGTCATTTCTGGCTTTAGGGTGCGGTGCTCATCTCAAGTTTCTAAGCCGAGGAGACAGTGCTGTCCAAAGAAGTCTCCATGGTCATGTGGCCAGCACGGCTAAACAAGCAATCGTTTATACATTCTTCATGTATTTTTATATTTTATAGGGAATATATTTTTAGAAGTATTTTGATTCCACGTGAGTGAAATCCTCCATTCGGTATAGGTGTAAATACGTGTTCTAAAATGTGGGGAAAACAAAATTTAACATTGGAAACTACAGAATCTAGGAATGAAATTCAAACATTTACTTGATGATAGAACTGCAGCAACTCCTTGTATTAACACTGTTCAAGTTATCAAATTTTATTACTGTTTAAGTCAACTCAAGATTATGTTCCATTCACAGAAAAGCATTGAAAAAGGTAACAGAAACACCATGCTACAAGTAGAAGTTACTGTTCACGAGGAAGCGTGAGAAAGAACATAAACCATGCCTATTATGGCATGCAATGACTTCAGTTAGTACTGTATTCTTCTGTAAAGGTGCACATAGTTTTATGGCCTTAGGCTTCTTTTTGAAAATGACCAAGTTTACATTTCTCTCACTTATTTCATTTTAAATATCACATGTAATCAATTTGGCTGAGGGTGTAATTGGCTTAAAATTATCCAATCAATGCACGGTAAAGATCTGTCAGAATTCAAGTCCATTTAGCTCTCAGGATGTGATAGATGCAATCAACAGGATGAGCTAAAGGCTCATTATTCACTCCTTATATAAAAATAGATGCTAACCAGCTTGATAGGAGTCATTTTTAAATATCTAATGGCTTGCTTTATTTTAAAGCATCTCTGCAAGGTAATAACGCCTGCCTTCCCTCTAGCAAAATGTAACCTAAAGTATGTTCTCTTCTGTCATCATGGAGGGAATATATTACAATAGTTCACAAAACAAAGCTTAAATGGTATTTTACTAACTCCAATGTATTTAAGACTTGTTCAGAGGAAACTAGGATAAATAGCTGCAAAAGACCCCCTAAGCTTTGCCAACCAGCTGAAAAATAAGAGTCCATTAAGCAGTAGCTTGCCATAATAGGCTAAGATTCTGCTACAAATTTTAGTAGAATAGGAAACAATTGACAGATATTAGCTCTAGTGTGACTTTCAGAAAATAATTCCTGTCCTAAGTGTTTTCTTTTCCAATGTTTTTGTTACAGAAGAACACCACTGCCAAATTGAGTCTATACAGGCTTTCTTTACATCCAAAACTAGTAAATAAGCACTTCAATGCCCCATACAACTGGTGTGAACGTTTTAATTTTGTACACATGACAAGATTTTACACCAAGCAGTCAGTTAAATAGTACAAATTTACATTGTGAGGAATGTTTAAAAAATGCAACTTAAAAAAATTCTTCTGCCCAAAACCCTGCACCTCCCCCCAACATTTTACAGTGAAAAAACAAATTCAGTTCACATTCCTGCTTCATCCAAAACACAGGATAGTATTTGAGAGTGCATTTTACAATTCATCTTTTACATCTGTGGACTCCTGCAAGAAACAAAGCATAGATTAAGTTGAATTTTGTAGATGTGCAGAATCCCCAATAAATCACTTTTAGATTGTCCACTTTTTTTGTTCAGCATGATTTAAAAATGGCAAATATTTCCTGCCTGTTCTCACTGTGGCTTCTTCATCAGACAGGAAGTTTACAGCTTCCATGTTTTGAGGGAAGGAGAGTAACAGCAATCCAGCAAGTGCAAGTTTATTATAACACTGTTAAAAAGTCTAGCCACACGTGATAAAATCAAGTCAACACAAGGCCCAGAATGTTAGTGCTGGTGGTAAATACTATAATGCTTATATACAAAACTTCTGTCAGCTGAGACAAATTATAGAAAAGATGGTACTGTCAACTAAAAAGTTACTCCTTTGGTCTTTTTAGCTGCCAGAAAAAGGGAGTGGGGGAAAACAAGGCATTCCTTATTGGAGAGCTTGACGGATGACTTGGAGATGGATGTGTCCCATTGGAGAAGTCACATCCAGCGGGTGGGGGGAAGACCAGGGTCAAGGGAGATATGTATGATGTAATTTAATATCAGCCGCATCCAGCTTACACCAACATGGCCACTCCTAATAAATCAATTTACTTTTCTGAGATGCGGCTAGAGACTTTTGATTTGAATGAGGGTGGATTTGTTGAAGCCCTGACAGGTACCTTATGATACATCTGTTATCCCCCACACTCCCAATTGTTCCAAACCACACTAACCATTTTCTCTGTTTCACTGTCTTCAGTATCTTCCTCAGCTTCAATTTCCTCTTCTGGTTCTACTCCTTCAGCAGCTTCATCTGGTTCTTCAGGCTCATCTTCCACCTTTTAGAAATATTTAGCAAGGCAAAAGTTTATATACCACTATATTTCACACACACACAAATCCTTATCAATACAAAGTATGTTTTAGATATCACTACACAACAAATAGGGTCATTGTTTCAAATATATTTACGATATTCCTCAATGCCTTCAATAATGGCAGAGCATATTTGCCATTGCTTAAGCAAGGCAGTTAAATTGTGTCTGATTTTACAACCTTTTTTTGCCATTGCTATATGACCTTGATTGGCTTAACAACCATGACAAAAAAGTCATAAAATGAGGCACAACTCATTTAACTTCCTTGCTTAGCAAGGGACATTTTGTTCCATTGTGGTTGTAAGTCTCAAGGACTACCTATAAAAGAGAATAGGAATGACAAGCAGACATTTCTGAATCAGAAGTGTTAACCCAGAAAAAGAAAATGGTCCCAAGAATTATCCTGGCACTTTCAACTCAAAATGTAAGTCATGAGTCTACCTCCTGCACGTATTACACTGATTTTCACAAACCTTTTCCTCTGGGTCAATGTTCAAACTCAGGCGAAGCATTCGTTCTATTCTTTCTCCATATTCCTTTGTATCTGGCAGCAGATAACCTGATCTTAGGGTAGCAGTTTCAAGCAGAACCACAGCAAGATCCGCAACTACTTGATCATCTTCATTTTCCTGACACCCCCCAAAAAAACAAACAAAACACCACAGAATATTATAGAAATTGTTTAGGAATTTCCAATTTGAGACTCATCAAATCTCATAAGCTGCAGTATTAAATTATTTTTTGCATTTCTTGTCCAAAATTTTAGCAGTACAAAACTACATTAGATGCATCTGTAACTTTTAACATTCTTACCTGAACACGCCTGAGCATGTCTTTTATGAGAGGATGTTTAGGATTGATTTCAAATATCTTCTTTTGGCTTGCATAGTAACTAAAAAGATGACAATTTTAAGGGCAATTAGATACACTCTACTATCATGTTATAAGTTCTAGAAATAAACTAAGCAATTTTACTTAATGCTATTATACTAAAGAATAAGTAATTTAAATGAATGCAGAACTATATAGGAAGACAAAGAAATTGTTTGTATTATTTAATGTAAAATTAGGCACATTAAATGAGACCACCTATAGATCCAGGCAAATATTCAGATTACATTACATCACTTACAAACAGACACAGATAATTCCCAGTTTTTCCTAGAATTTTTAGTGCAGATTATTGGAAGGGACAGGAAGAAACATTACGTTGAAATATAAAAAGTTGGGAATCCTCACTGATCTATCCACATGCACTTAAACAGGATGGATCATCCACTGTGCATACGTTTATTAAGACTTAAGTGACCAACTTCCTATGCTGTGTTGCATCAAAACCAAACAAATTACATTAGGATCCAAATGAGGCCCAGAAATAATTGTATAAGTTATATATTACTTGGTAGCGATATCTTTTCCAGTCTGGTAAGCCTGAGCCTTCATGATTCTTTCCATGTTGCCAGACCATCCATATTGACTGGCTACAAGAGCACATGGGGACTGGGTTAATCGCTGAGATAATACTGCTTTTTCAATCTAAACAGAAAGAAAACCTAGTGTAAATACAAATATAGCACAGAATGCATTTTTGGAATAATACCAAATTCTAAAATACATACTTTATCCTTTAAAGCTTTATCTTTCATCCAAGTTAATAGGGGTTCATACTCTTTTTCTAAAGCCTCGCGAGTTTCCTTTGACTTTTCACTTTCATCAAACTTCACTCCTTCTTTAGCAACATTCTGAAACCTTTTGTTGTCAAACTCTGGGAGAGCCTGAATGCAATATTCATCCACTGGTTCTGTCAAATATATAACTTCATAACCTTTTTTTAGAAGCCGTTCTACAAAAGGTGAAGATTCAGCCTACAAGATAAATTCAAAACATTTAGTATGCCATAATGCTGTAAAATTTTAGATGGAAACAATGCATTTTCCACTGCAAATCATTTTTATTGAACAAATTCTTTTTACCTCTTTTCTACTTGAACCAGCCATGAAATAGATTTTATCTTGCTTCTCTTTCATTCTTTCTACATACTCATCTAGACTAGTAACGTTGCTTTCATGGTGAGACGTCTGGAAACGAAGAAGTTTAGCTAGACGAGTCCGATTTGAATGATCTTCAATCACTCCAAGTTTGATATTTGTGCCAAATTCTTTCCAGAATGTGTCGTTATATTTTTCTTCAGCAATCTTTTTGATCATATCAAGTGTCTTCCGGACAAGTTTCTTTCTAATTACCTAAAAATTCAGAAAAAGATATGTAAGAAAACATGATTAATCTTTTGATCCCAGTTTAAATGAATACCATTTTACAATCTGAGCAACTTCTAGATATACTGACTT